AGGAGGAAACTTGTCACAGAGTGCTGGAGTTCATACCTTAAAAAAGTGTCTTATTGTCAGTAGAACAGTGCTCTCTACGGAGCATACGACTGCACTTTTTTTCTCAGTGATATCTGTCGTAGCAGGTGCCTTGGATATGAATGAAATTTTTTCCTATTATTCAAGCAGATGGACCCTGGTGGTTGGTGGTGGTGATGAAAGAGGACTTATAAAAGACGGCTCTGTCGGTCGCTGAGCTGTGAATAACAATGGGATCGATAACCCCCACACAAGACAAAAACCGAATTAAACTCAACATCGAATCAAAGAAGGCTAACCGATTATGCAGCCATCAATCCCCCATTCCTTCATTTCTCCTCACAGTTGCCGGACTTTAAACCCGGAGCCCTCAAAACGAAGGCTGGACGTGTGGTCATCAGGGCCGGATTGAGGGGGTGGCCACATGGGCCGCGGCCCATGGCGGCAAATCTAGAGGGCGGCAAATTTTGCAATTTTTTTTAAATGTGGGTATAAAAAAATATCGGAATTAGAAAAACAAAATTACAAACGAGAAAAGGCGACAAAATCTCTCATTTCCTGAGAGTATAGTGATTTCTAATTTTGTCGTCTCTTAGTGATACAATAGACAGCACCCTCAATAAGTCGAGTTACGAGAGAAACCAAACACGCAATTTGGCCCAGAGCGGCGCGACTTAGAGAGAAATGATGACGAGAACTTGAGATGAAAAGGAGAAGCCATCAGCGCGGCGGTCGGCATGTAACACATATCAGCGCCTACAAGACTGCACGAATACTTCACGCATTGCATCAAACACAAGTGCGGTCATTGCAGTCAGCGTGAAACGGATAGCGCCTACAAGACTGCGTGAATACTTCACGCGTTGCGTCCAACACAATGCGGTCTGCGCGGCGCGGCAGCGGAAGTTAAAATCATTAAACTACGTTAAATGTTTGTTCTTTCATAATTTGTTCGTTCATTTCTCATAAATGGAAGGCCTTGTCCGCACAGAGATAGGTTTACAAAACTTAACTTTTGCTAGTAGTGTTGACAGGGCTTCCGCAAAAAATGTATCCAACACGAGTAAACGCGTCTTATGCACTCCTCCCCCGCTGGCACGTTCACTTGATGGTTTTTATTGATGTTTCAATACGAATGAGAAGGAGGCGGCAAAATACAGGCGGCCCATGGGCGGCAAGTAGGTAAATCCGGCCCTGGTGGTCATTGAGTGGTTCAATTTTTAACAACAACATATTAATGGAGATGTTGCATGTGTGAGGGATTTGCGGTTTGACAGTTGATTCTTGTGTAAAAGTTTGCGAGAAACACGATGGTGCCACTGGTTTCCTCTGAAATCAACTCCAAGGCTCAAAAAAAGCTCTCCAAAATGGAGGGATATCCCACGCTATCCTGAGTGTCCACGTCTACATCAAAACAAACTCTCCATGCAAAGATAGGGAGCAAATACATTAGCAGGGTTGCCGTGTTTTCAGTTTTAGAGTCCCCAAATAAAGTGGCAGCCCTATCAATGTATTTGCTCCCTATCTTTGCATGGAGAGTTTGTCTTCGCACTTTGTAAAAAACATCAGAATAACTCACCCCCCCCCTCCACCCATGTAATGGAAACTTTAGGAAATCGTTATAATCAAAGCACAGGTTTTGCTTCATTTACGTGTTGGCCTAGTCGGGAAGAGGAGAAATCCCTCCGTATTTGAGAGTATGACAAAAGGACCAAATCTGCTGAAATACATGTGCTTAAATGGAAAATGCGCACTGATGACACAAGGTGATACATTTTTCACTTATAAATCTTATGTCTTTACATACTAGAAAAAAATTCTAAAAAAGAAACTATAGACTCAGCTCATTAAGCACTCTCTGATGGGATACTTCATTTTTTTCTTACATATTCTACACGCCTGATACTTCTTTGTTCCTCGTCTATCCCTGCCTCTCAAACGTTATTAAATGTAAATAATATGAAATAAAAACCAAAGTAGATGCGGAGAAAAAATAGCGAACTATTGACCCACGTATTCAATGCTGAGAGTTGAATACGTCCTCGGTTTCTAAAAGCAATGACGCGCGAATTTTTTCAGTCATTCTCTGCTTGGGCAGACGTACTTTTTGCGGTTTATCATGCAAAAAATGAAATTGCTTGCTCAATTCCTCCTAGAAGTGCACTTATCTAAAATAGGAACTTGAACAACGTAATGAGATTTAAAAAAAAGCACAGTAAAGAAAAAAATAACAGGTTCCTCGCTTGAAAAATCCGTAGTTGAAAGACCCTGAAAGGCCTCTATTTGCGTCATGACCTCGGACACTTTTCTAGATTAGTTTTTCATCTGCAACATACTGCGGAGAAGAGCACTTGAGTGTTATGTGTTGAGGACTCAAGTCATAGTGAGTTCAAAATCTCCTCATACGGTCAAACTTTGTTTTGAGAATGATATTTTTTACCTGAAAATTTTCCTCTGATCAGACCACATTCAAACATGTCCGTCATTTTTCCTGCGCCAAATTTCCAATGGCTTCTGGTTTGTGTTTGTGCCCTGATTCTTGGCATTGTGACTCCGAACAAGAGTGAGTCGGCTGAACTCATAACGCGACCTCTCAACACTTCGGGTAACATTTTACTTATTTCTATTTTTATGACCCTGCAAGTTTTAGCTTGTATTTACGTTCCTTTAAAGTCTTGCCGTCAAAAGATAAAACAAAGGAATTCACGATAAAAATAATTTTTGAGCGCAAAATTTTCTGAAGGTTGAATTTTAGTAGCGTGAAAATCTATTTCCTTATTTCTGAATTTTAGGTTTCAACAAATTTGATTGAAATGAGAATTAAATAAATAAACATAAATATGAAACAAGTTCATTTATTAATAATTAATGTGTTCACTATTTCCTCTTTCACATACTTTTTTAAGTTATTCTGAAACTTGGAGTGGCGCTAAAGAGAGATAAGGAGAAAAAAAGAGTTGCAGGAGCCCCACTTAAAAAACCAACTACAATCCAAGATGAGCCAATTTATTATGATACGGTGACAAGAAATAAACCATTTTCTTCGTTATCAAACTAGTACTAGTAGTACTAAAAGTATCAATTTCTTTCGCTGACTTTTAATACCTGGTTTTCTTCATATGTCTTTCCTTTGTATGTGTCTCGATTAACTACTCAGCAGAAGGGGTAAATCTGTT